AAAGGCAACATATATGCTGGATAAAACACTGGGCTCAGAGTTAGAAAGACCTGGGCTTGAATTCTGCTTTAGATGCCTATTGGCAAGTCACTTAAACCTGTAGGCCTCAGTTTCCTCATCTGTGAAATGGGGATAGTATTAGCACCTTCTTCTCGGGTTGTTTGGAGGATTAAATGAAATCATGTGTGTATCACTTTGCAAACTTTAAATGTCAACTGCTGTTCTCATTAGGAGAAGCGGTATGGTGTAGTGGCTAAAGGGCTGGCCTTCCAGCCAGGAAGAACTGGATTCAAGTCTTGCCTCTCACACATACTTACTGCTCACATAACATAACCCCTCAGTACACTAGGCTATTATTATCCCCATTTTACAGATGAAAAATTGAGGTTCAGAGAGGTTTAAATGACTTGCCTATGTTCACTCAGCTAAGTAAGTCTTTTGGAATTTAAGGCTCAGGAAACTGTCTTTATGAAAAGCTATGTTTTTTTAAATCATCCGGTGGCCTGGAGGTTCTGATGAGCCTTCATGACCTCCACTAGGCTGGTTCTTGGATGAAAGACTTACATCAATCAGTTAATTAGTCAGCAAGTCCCTGAAGTATGGACTCTGTGCCATGCCCTGGGCTACATACTGTGGATATGAACACAAGGAGGAAACAATCATCCTTCCCTTCAAGGTCCTTATGTTCTGGGGCCATGGAGGGGACTAAGAAAGATTCAAGGAAATTCCAATAGTGAGGAATTAACAGCTACTGGGGAGGAGAGACCTGGAAAGGCTTCCTATAGGAGGTGGCACTTGGGCTGAACTTTGAAGAGAACTAGGAATTCTGATTGGCAGAGGCAAGAAGGGATGGCTTTCTAGGCATGGGGGACAGCCTGGTCAAGGACATGGAGATGGGAGATAATGTTGTGCGTGAGAAACAACAAAGGCCATTTTGGCTGGAACATAAGAGTGCATTAAGGGAAATAATGTTCAGTAAGCTTGAAAGGTAGATTGGAGCCAGATTGGGAAGGACTTTAAATGGCAAACACAGAGTCTGTATTTTATAGTAGAGGCAACAGAGAAAAGCAGCTGGAGCTTCTTAAGCAGGTGTGTGACATGGTGAGACCTGTGCTTTAGGAATATCAATCACTTGAATTTGTGGAGGAAGGATTGGAGAGGAGAGACATTTGATGTAAGAAGACCAATTAGAAGATCATTTCAGTGGTTCAAATGAGAGATGATGGTGGCCTGAACCAGGGTGCTTATGGTGCGAGCAGAGAGAAGGGGACGGATGCAAGAGTGACTGAATTCATGGAGTCATCAGGATTTGGTTACCGAGTGGATATGGGGTTTGAGGAAGAGTGAAGAGTTAAGGATGACAGCGAGATTGAGACTGGGGCAATTGGAAGGGTGATGGTATACTTCACAGAAATAGGGATGTTATGAAGAAGAGTGGGTTTTGTGGGGAAAGATAGTGATTCCTGTTTTGAATACATTTAGTTTGATAGCCCTATGGGATATCCATTTGGAAATGTTGCTCGTGTCAGATTGGGGATCAAGGAGGGATGAGAGCTGAATAGGTAGATTTAGGAGCCGGATGAGTAGAAATTATTAGTGAAGCCATAGGAACTGATGAGATCTTTGAAACACAGGGTGTAGAGAGAGAAGAGGGCCCAGGTAAGAGCCTTGGATTCTTGAAGAATGAGACCTAACCAATGATCCAGCAAAGGATACTGGAAAAAATGGAACATCCAGACAGTTAGAAGAACCAGGAGAGCAGTATCATGAAAACCCAGGAAGGGAGAGAGTAACCAAGAGGAGAGGGTGGTCAGCTCTGTCAAATGCTGTAGAGTTACAGGAAAATGAGGACTGAGAAAAAGGCATTGAACTTGGACAGATAAAAGGTTATTGGTAACTCTCAATTGAATGATGAAATTGAGGTCAGATTGTAAGAGCTAACAGCTAGCATTATACAGCACTTTCAGGTTTACAAAGCACTTCACAAATATTATCTCATTAGACTTCACAATAGTCCTAAGAGGTAATCGCTATTCTTATCCCCATTATACAGATGAAGAAACTGAGGCTTAGAGAGGTTAAGTGACTTGCCTTAGATCATACAGCTAGTAGGTGTCTGAGGCTGGATTTGAACTCAGGTCTTTCTGACTCTTGCACTGTAGTGGTTAGCCACTGCACTATTTAGCTGCCTCAGAGGCAAGGGCTAAGGAGAAAGGTCATCACTTCATTAAAAAGTGGACCAAAGGAGGTGAGAATTGAGGGTAATGAAAAGGAGTTTTGAGATATAGAATAAAGGAGAGGAAAGTAAGTAGCTCAAGAAGGGCATCTTTTGTTTCAACTAAAGTAGCTCGATTCTGCCGCTTGCCACACCCCAGGAGAACCAACAACTCCCCCAACCTTCCACCCCCCCATACCCACCTGACCAATGAGTCAGTCGCTTGAGATATGTTTTCTGTGATAAGTGCCCCTCCCCAATCCCTTCTTTTCCCTCTCTGCTCAAAAGGTTTGCATGTTTGAGGCAATAGACATTTCCTCTATATTCGTACCATGGACAGCTCCTTTGGGAAACTCGGGAATTTCAAGTCTGAACCACTCCAAAGAAATCCTGCTTTGTTGTTTGTCTTTTCCTCCTGTCTGAAACCCTAATTCTGAATTCAATGGTTGTCTCCTTGAAAGTGGAAGATGAGTCTGAAAACCTGTTTTTTTTTCTCCGGGTGAAAAGCTAAACCCTTTCCTTACACCATCTGTGATACAGTGGAAAAGATGGTGGACCTGAAGTCAGTAGACCTGGTTCGAATCCTCACTCCGGCACTTACTACTGTTCATTCTTAGGCAAGGTGTTGAAATTCTTTGGCCTTGCATTGCCTCATCTGTTCAATGAGGGAGTTGGACTAGATGTCCTCTGAAGTCTTTTCTAGCTCCAAAAGGTGCTATGACTCTATTAAGTAGAAAGTCCAAATAGCACCCCTATTTTGCAAATGAAGAAACAGAAGCTCAGAGAGCTCACATGACTTGAGACTGGTCACACAGTTAGATTAAAACCCACATTTTCTGACACCAAGTCCAGTGCCTACACTCCACCCGAAGCCTCCAAATGCTATCCAACCCAGGATGGGTACTTGGGAGGGGGGATGACAGTTCATAACAGTGGAAAGAGGACCTCTGGAGTCATTTGACATGGGTTCATTTTCTATCTCTCATGCTTACTATCTGTGTGATCTTGGGTCAGTCACATAACCTCAACCTCCTTGGGGAACAGTTTCCTCACCTGTAAAATGAGAGGGGTTAGACTAAGTGGCTTCTGAGCTTCCTTATGATTCCTTCCAGCACTGAGATTTGGGATTCTCTTCAAGCCTCTATTTATCCTCTTTTCAGCACATAGCTTGTTTATTTGAGTTGGGGGTTATTTCTGCATCAAGTCACCCTCGCATATGGCCCTAGTGTCCTCCTTCCATCCAAGTGAATATGGATTAGGATCAGGAACCCATAAGGAAGTGTTGCATTCAGAGCATTCCACCAATGACCAAAAGTTTGTTTGTTTGTTTGTTTTTAATGGGGAATCCCTTCCCTGGGGAAATAGAATCAAAACCAACCTCTTTGTGCCGATCTCTGGGAGAACTGCACCAGAAGGCAACTCAATCCTTAGCTGGGAAGCTGCCACTAAAGCACTTGGAAGCCAGAAATGGAAAAGGCCTATTAGGTCATCCCATGCCATTCCCTGGGGTCTAGTTGCTCCCTGGTATGTATTTTCTAGTTCTCTGCCCTGCCTGGGTTGTTTATGTGAATCTGCTCCAGTAACTCGTTGTACCTATGGGGAGATTTCTTTGTGCCTACTTGGAACCCAGTCTTGGTGATGGCTACAAATTTTGCTAGCCTAGGTCCCCACTGCAAATGGAGCCATGCTCCCACATTCTTCTTTAGCTTTAATTCTGGACCTCTCAAAAATGCCTGGAAGTAAGTTTGCCAGACCTGGGCACTGTAATTGGTAGCCTCAAGGAGACCAAGTCTAGAGTTCATATGTCAAAAGCATTGTTCCAAACAGTCTGCATCCTCTACCCATATCTCTAATCTCATGCCTAGTGTGATTTAAAGCTGGCTTCCCTCACTTTCTCTTGCTATCTTCCTTCTTTCCCTACATCCCTGCACATATATAGGACAAATAAGGTAAGCAAACCCAGGCAGGATTTATCAGTAACAAAAACAAATGGGCAAAGGAAACAGTCGTTTTTGACTCCTCAAGCACACCTGTGTTGGGCATAACTCAACCCTAGATAGGGCACCTTTCCCATTTTTTGGTACAACCTTGAGTTGGGGTTTAGGGAGCCTTGTGCCTAAGTGTAACCACAAACATCATCATTACCCCACTTGTACCCTGTTGTAAAATCAATCCAGCCTCATGAAACCAATGCTTTGCACTGCTTGGTGCTTCAAGATTTATAAAGCCAGATGAGGTCAGTGATGCAAATATTTTACAGATGAGGAAACTGATGATCTTAGATCTAGGGCTGGAAGGGACCTCTGCCATTTTACAGGAAACCGAGGCCCAGGAAGGCTAAGTGACTCATACGGGGAGAAGGAACGAGCATTTATGAAGTGCCTGCTATGTGTCTGACTTGATGCTAAGCACATAGTTCTAGAAAGCTGGAAGGGACTTTATTAGCCATCTGATCCAACCCCCTCATTTTATAGTTGAGGAATTTGACACTCATGGAGGTTAGGTAATGTGCCCAAGGTTTTTCAAGTAGTAAGCATCAGAGATGAGGTTTTAGCCCACGTCCTCTGACTCCATAGCCTGGGTTTTTTCCGACCCTGTACCACATAGATAGTAACGATCAGAACCAATATTCAAACCCACATCTGCCACATTCAGCACTCCTCCCTCTATAGTACCCTCCCTCCAGGTCTTTCATCCATCTTTGACAAGTCTTCCAAAGAAAAAGTGGCAGCAGTATCATAGAAGGACAAGTTTGGGACATTCCAAGTGGGAGGTTAGCACTTACCATGATAGAAAAGATCAGTGGCACTATATTCAGGGGCCATACAGGGCAAAAACAAGTGAGGATGGCCAAGATGAGGTAATCCTTTGGCATCTCCTGGTCTTGGGCATTGGAGGTGGTAGCAATGGAGGATGCCCTCCGTGAGCTGACCCTGGAAGGAGAATGAGGGGTGGCCTCCAGGTGCCCCTCAGACACTGATTTGTATGGTAGACTGTGACCATTCTGCTCCATTTCCATGGCCCCTGAGAAGGACTTGGATGCCTTCATAGCCTTGTCATCTTTGTCCTCAGTCTTGGTGAGGAGTTTCTCTGTCTCCTGTGAGTCCAGGGGCAGGACAATGCTGGGTTCCAAAGTCTTTGGAAACTGGGGCTCAGTGTTGCTTTCCATGGCTGCCTGGCTCCCTGGATGGGCCAGCTCCTGACTCGGAGGCAGATGGCACGAAGGCAGTAGAAAATGAAGAACCGGATGGAATGTCAGATTGCCATCCCCGGCCTGGGTGAACCAGTGGGGAAATTGTTAGGGGGATGGCCAAGCAGATTGCCCCAGCCCAGGCACCAGGGCACTGCCTGGTGGGTAAGGATGAAGGTGGGGAGGCAGCGGGTTCAGAAAGCCATCTTTTTGTTTCCAGGTCTCTCACTGTTCTCACCGTCCTCTTTGCTGGAAGCAAATGCCTCTTAGGCTACAGAAATCTGCTGCTGCCAAGTGGAACAGTCCAGGCAGGGCAAACCAAGTTTACAGCCAACTTTGCTGCTTTCTCTGTTCAAGCGCTGAAGGCACAGGCAGGCAGGAGAAGCTCTGGAGCTCAGGCAGGGATGGGCTCTGCCTGTGGTGGTGTCTCCCTCTTTGAAGGCAGGCAGCAAAAGGAGGCTGATGCGTGGGTGGCTGTGTCTAAACAGAGCCACGCCAGCATTTCCCTCTTCTGCCTGTCCTCCCTCCTTCAACCTCTTCTCCACTCCACTCCCCCCACTCATTACTCCTCTGAGGTTTTTATTTTCTCGTTCCAATTCCCCTTTCCCCAAAGGAGTAACCCCAGGCAAGAGCTCTCTCTGGCTCTTGCCTCACTGGGAAACAATCTCCCAGAGCCTGAGTCGGCTTCCCTCTCTTTCTCTCCATCTCTGCCGCTTCATTCCTGGGGCAACAGTGCCTGCTCAGCCCCTCCATTTATGTGTGTGTATGTGTGTGAGTGGGAGCCATGGTGGGGAGGAGGGGGAAGGAGAGTGAGAAATGAAGACGCCAGAAAGAGTCTTTTCTCTGCCGTGAGCATCGACTTCTAGCTCAGTGGTTCATAAATGCTATGGTATGCATGCTGCTTTTCCATTCATCTTCCTCCTGCCTGGTGAGAGGGCCTCCCTCCTGCAATGGAATTCTGGGGAGCGGCTTCGCTCCTGGGGTTGAGCTGAACAAATGACCCAGTACCTCCAGCCTGCGATTTCCCCTACTATTGATTATTGAAACGAACAGCAGTCGGTCTGAAATCCACTGACTGAACAAAACGTGTAGCTAACCGAGAATGTTTCCAAACACCTCAGTCATTCTGTTCTTTGGACAGCAGAGGTGTGTGTGTGGGGGGGGGGCGGTGCACGCACACGCCCGCACATCCTCTAAGGAACATTTATCCCATGGACTCAAATCAGTTTAAAAAGAAACCTTTTGGTGAGAAATAAGAAAACAGATAGGCAAAGGGATATTTAAGGAGCTGCTAGAGGCAGATGTGAGAAGTTCAGCAGAAGATTCTTTCTGCTCTGTGGTACAGTAGAAAGAGTGCCAAACATAGAGCAACAAGACCTGAGTTCCAATCCCGATTCTGATACTTTCTATACCTCAGCTTCCCCATCTGTAAAATGAGGGAGGCCTCTAAGGTCTATTGACCCTAATCCTAGGGGAGGCTCCTTCCTCTCTTAGGTTATAGCTCACTTTGGTGGTCAATGTCCAAAAAGCTATAACAAGTGTGGGACAGCCAGGAGTTTTCTCCAAGTCACTGACATGGGTGCAGGGCAGGCTTCCTTCTCACGATGACAGCTGTTCCCTCCTTCACCTCATGTGCAGCCCTCATGACTTTGGTCAGATGATCACTCCAAGGCCTCCATCACTGGGGTTTCATTACAATGGTGCTCTTTTCCCTGTATTTTCCCTAAGGCCCACTGGGGCATGGGTGGGACTCTGGGGGGACACTGTTCTTCATCTCCTAGTGCCATATTCATGGCAGAACTATCATGAGTGCTTGTGCGGCCAACCCTCCCCTATCCTTGACCTGTCAAATGAATTTGTCCCAGATATAAGGATTCCTAGTTATAGCTCTGAGTGTCAATGTCGCCCTGTATTACCCAGGCTCAGCATCCCTGTCCTGTTGAAATGAGGGAGAAGGGGTTGAATTAGAAACAAAATAAGAGACTTTTGAAAGAGCTGGGTTTCCAGAGATCACCCCATCTAAGTTATTTATTTTATAAATAAGGATGCAGGGGCCTAAGGAAGGGAAGTGACTTTCTCAGGAAGTCACAGAGCTTTACACACATATTGAGCTTAAAAACGAAGTTGTAGGTCACAAATTGAACACAACTCCTTCCGTTTTGTCTTAAGCATTGTTGTTGTTCAGTCATGTCTGACTTTTTGTGACTCCATTTGGGGTTTTCTTGGCAAAGATACTGGAGTGGTTTGCCATTTCCTTCTTCAGCTCATTTTACAGATGACAAAACTGAGGCAAACAGGGTGAAGTGACTTGCCCAGGGCCACCCAGCTGCTAAGTGTCCGAGGCCAGCTTTGAACTCAGGAAGTTGAGCCTTCCTGACACCAGGCCCAGGGCTCTGTGCACTGTGGCAGAAAGGACCTCCTTGCCATGCTCCCCACCCCCCATGACCCCTCCACAAGAATAGCCTGCATGATTACATCTGTTCAGTGGGACTTCAGAGGTTCTCCCATTTCAGGAATTGGCTTGGTCATTCATGTCAAAGTATCTTCTTATCTTATCAGTCCGCAACATGCCATCCCAATCTTCTTCTGCCTGAAGCTTTCCCCCTCTTTGTGGTTTAAGCATATATGAGCCCTATGTAAACTCACTTTAGGGAACCTCTACTCCTGCATGGGAGCTCCCTGGGGGAACTCAAACCCCAAGACAAGTTTGATACTTTGGGGCCTTGTTATTCCTGCATCACCCACAAAATCCACCTTGAAGTGTGTCAGAATCAGACACCAGTGCCCAGCCTGTGCCAGGAACCTGTATTAAAGAAAGTATGCTCACGGGAAAGAAAATGCTACAAGAATATAAATATGAATAATTCAGAGAAACATAAGAAGACTAATCTGAAAGGCAGCTGTGTCATGGTGTAGAGGGAGCTATCTTCAGGTAGGAAGAACTGGGTTCAAGTTCTGACTCTGACCAACTGCATGACCTTTATGCAAGCCACTTATCCTCTTACTGCCCCAGGCAACTCTCTAAGGGTCTAAATTGGTTCTCTATATGTCATGTTTATTAGAGATATTTGATACGATTCTGGAGAATGTACTTTGTAAAGTACAAATGGGAAGCTAAATGGAGCTAACTGAGCTCTTGGGTCTGGAGTCAGGAAGAGTTGAGTTCAAATACGGCCGCAAACACTTTCTAGCTGTACGACCCTGGGCAAGACCCTCTGTCTGCCTCAGTCTTCTTAACTGTAAAATGGTTAACCTCAAATGGTTATTGTAAGGATCAAATGAGGTAATATTTGTAATAGTGCTTAGCATAGTATCTGGCACATAGGAAGTACTATATAAATGCTAGCTATTAATAATAATAATAATAATAATGATAATAATATTAAAGGGAGTTTGTCTGGGTGTTTGTTGGAAAATACTTTTGTTTAAAAAACAAAATTAATTCATAATTTTTTTGTTTGTTTTTTCATTTGTTTATTTGTTTTGCTTTTTGGTGAGGGAATTGGGGTTAAGTGATTTGCCCAGGGTCACACAGCTAGTAAGTAATTTGTACTTTTTTGAAACAAAGAGGAAGAAGGGAAAGAAGGAAGAGAAAGGAGGAAAGAAGGAAGGAAGGAAAGAAAAGAAGGAAGAAAAAAGGAAGAAGGAAGGAAGAAGGTAAGGAGGAAAAAAGAAAGAGAGGAGGGAAAGAGAGAGAGGGAGGGAGGGAGGGAGGGAGGAAGGAAATGGTACTGGAATAAGCATGAACCTGCATCTAAAAATGTGCCTCTGAGCAAAGGGAGGTGACTGAGCAGCTGGGCTGGAATAATGAGACAGCAGAAGGCAGTGAGAAGTATGGAACCCAGACCCAAAGGTGTCCTCTCTGTGGCAGAAGGGATAAATGATTCTCATCTCTAGTTAGTGGTTACTTAGCATCTTTTTAGAGAACTAGAACATTTGGGACTCTGGGACTGGAGGTAGAGGAAGGCAGGTGGCTCATTCCTTTAGCAGAGCTGCCTCTGTGTTAAAGCCTGTCATTTTTAGCCTCCTTGAAAAATCTCTTTGGCTGGCTTGTGACCTGCAAGGTCCTTTACCCCCAAGGGTTTTCTATTCCCTGCTCCAGACCCTTTCTGTATTGGTTATATGACTGTATTGCTCTCAAGCCCTTGCGTACCAGCTCTTAAATAGCAGGCTGTTTATTGCTCTGGAAGCCTTTAATAGATCACCTGCCAGGTGGGAAGAGGGCAGATTCCTTTTCTTGAAATGGAACAAAGGATACCTGGGAACCCAGATTCTGGAAGCAGATGGCCTAAGCCAGCCCAAACCCTCCATGTTGGTGTTGGTGCCTCTGAACCTCACAGCTACGTGGGGATCAAAGTCTGCACAATCTAGGGAAAATACTGGTCAGTAGAAATCAGAGAAACCTTATAAGGCTTTTACATAAAGTGTTGGGAGTGCCAGCCTGAGAAGCCGTGGATTCAGCCCCAAACAACTCCTCACCAAAGCCTATTTGCTTTTTCTCCTTTGCTCGTTCTGAACCAAAGAAGCATGAGAAGAGGGAAATGAGATAATATGAGACTGCCCTGCACCCCTTCACACCCCTCCCCCATCTGAAGAGTAGTTTGGGAGGCAGCTGCTCCCCACACGGAAAGAGCACCAGCTCTGACATCAGAGAATTTGGATTCAAGTCTGGTCTCTGATGTTGACTACCTTGGCCAAGTCACTTAACCACACTGGGCCTCAGTTTCCTCATCTGTAAAATGAAGGGTTTGTACTAGATGATTTCTCAGGTCCTTTGCTTTCCAGTTCTAAATCTATGATGCTCCTTACCTGCTGTAGAGTCTCCCCCCACCCCAACCCCATCACCCAATCTTCAATTTCTTCCTGCCTAAGAAGTAGTTTGGTCTCCTGTGACTATGTTAATGTACTTATAAATATGTAAACCCCTTAAGAGACCTGCTTCCTGGAGGCCCGGGTCACGTGGGGCTAGCTACATGGTCAGTAATGCAGTTCGAAAGAAATCAAGAAATCAATGCATCAGGATGGAAAGCTGCCTCAGGGGAGGAAAGCACCCAGGAGGGGATGTCCAGGAGAGCAGGATACGCTTGTGGAGCTTACAGAGAAGGGCCTTTTTAGTTTATAAATAAACTCAACAATGAAAATAAAGAACTAAGTGGCCATATCCTGAGGTGGAATGGGGCATTAAAGTTGCAAGGTAGAGTGGGAATTCCATGGCCCAGCAGGCAGACAGACAAACGGAACCAGCCTGCGCTCTTTCTGACCTAATGGCAGTGGCTGGGAGGCAGCACGGTGCTTGGCCCCACCTAGTGGACCTTATGGGAACGCAAGGCATAAGAGTGGATGGACGGAGAAAAGGAGTGGAAGAAGGCAGATTATCTGGAGCAGGGGCTTACTTGTC